CCCCCAAGTGAGCCACGGGGCCGACCCAGGATGAATGTTTTAAGCATGACTGTCCTAGCTTCTGACCCTCGCCCTGCCACCACCATGGGCTCTGTGGCCCTGAAAAAATCATTTAATGTCTCTAAGCCTCAGTTGCCTCATCTGTAAAATAGGGTTAAGAATGCCTACTCCTGGAATTATAGTGAAAATTGAGGTCATGTATATAAATGCCCATCACTGATTCCAGCAGGAAAGAAGCACTCAATAAATAAATGGGGCTCTTATAATTTTATCTAAGTTCCTACAACACGGATTACCTAAACGATTTTTTTTACAGCTCATATATTCAGTATTCCTTTCCCAATCACCAGTTGAAGGCCCTTTGAAATTCCAAATTAGAAACATTTGTTGTTGAACTTCAAACTTTATGGGAAAAAAAACATGATTAGAGACTAAGGTCACAATTGAACTTATAAAAGCCATTATAAAAGAATTTTAAGTCATTAAAACAAATCACTAAATACAGAGCATGTCAGTGATGCTTCCTATGTCTTAATCAATGATAAAGACCTCTATGCCATTACCTCCCATTTGTCATTTCTTCCCAGCTCAAAACTTAGCAGCATCTCCTTTCTTTCCACTTGCCAAGACACTTGAAAATTTGTCATATGTTGATGTAAATAAGGATGAGGCATATTTTCCTGGTTGGTTCTCCATCCCAATGGTCAGCACCTTAATTCTTAACCTTCTAGCTGCTGACTCCTGCTCCCAGGCCCCACTCTCCACTGAAGAGATGCAGAGTGTCTGGGATGTGGAGATAGAACAGCTTCTACAGATCCTTTATTTAGCCTCCTTCCTGGGCACAGGTTTCCTCAGCCAGCTTATGCCCAGGATAAACCCCTTGTCTCTCCTTCTGAGTCCCTGCTCAGTGCCCATGTTGAGGGAGCTGTCACTTCCCTCAGCCTGGCCGCTCTCCAAAGCTCCCAGCCCACACCTCTGCTCCAGCTTGGACACCTGCCCCTCTTCTGTTCTGTACCTCAACCCCCAGTTCCCGCTTTTCCTAACTATCCCCAAGAAGAATGACTGGCCACGCAGGTAGACCGGAATCAAAATTCCCATGGTTGTCAAAAAGTCCACAGAAGTAAACACACAGACTGGAAGTTCCCATACAGGAAATTCATGGCTGGACAGTGGTTACTGTTCCTAAGAACTGTGAAGCTGTAATCTCACCAAGCCTCCCTATGCCCATTTAATGAACACAACCTTTTAAAATACTTTCTATACCAAGAGAATGTTGCAAGGCTAATATGGATGAAAGGACGTGGCGTGGAGCACAGGCCCTGGCTAGGCGAGGGCAGCTCTGGGGCCCCAGCACCTTCTGCTTCTCTGGCCCAGGTCAGCCTCACCCTTGACTCCATGAGCCGGCTCTTCTCTGCATGAGCCTCTTTCAGCATCTTCTCCATCTCCTCAATCTTCCCCATGTCCAGACCACTTGCACTGGGGGAAAGGGAAAGAGGGGGCACATCAAGAAGCCAAGGAGGCATCCGGAGGAGATGGTGGGCCCAGGTGAGGGCAAGTACCTGGACATGTTGTCGGGGGAGCAGGCCGAGTTGCCCCCCGTGGAGATGCTGGTCTCCATGCTGTCGGAGCTCTCCAGGCTCAGCGTATCGTAGGCATGCTCACCCTCCTCTCCACGCTCCCGCCCGGCTGGCAGGTGGTGCAGGATGGAGTGGTGCATGAGTGGGGGGAAGCCCGAGGGGCCCGGTGGGAAGGGCACTGCCCCGTGCAGGGCATCCCACTGGCACTGCGCTTCGGCTGCCGCTTTCTGCTTCAGTTCAGCCAGTCGCCGCCGTTGCTCCTCAATCACCTGCTGTCCTACAGGAGGGACAGGTGGGAGGCACAGTGGGCTGCCTACCCACCCGAGAGGGGGCACTGGCAGCATGACAGCCAGAGGGAGGAGGCAAGCAGGGATAGGTTAACACAGGGCAGTCCCCTCCCCACACCCAGCTTCCCTGAAGCCCCCACAGCTCCAGACAGCTGCCCCGCCAGTGCTTCAGTCGCCTGCACAACTGGAGTCTGGCTTCAGTGCTCTCTCCATACCTAGAGCCCACACAGGGCACCAACCTGCCTCACAACTGAGGCCTAAACATGTGGGTAGTACACATGCACCCACCCCGCCTGCTGGAGAAGGGAGAAGGAAGGAATGGAAGAAGACCCATGAGCACCCAGGGTGCCAATGCAGACCCCCCTGCAATGCAGAGGCCAGAGCAGCAAGAGCAGGAAAGGAGGCAGGAGACACAAGGTAGAGCACAGCTGAAGGCAGGAGAGAGGTCAGCTGAAGGGGTGAGGCCAGCCGGACACCCCAGCCCAGCTCAGCCTGGGGGCCCACCTGCAGGCTGTGGGGGCCTGGGCAGGGCACATCATGCTGATGCCGGGGCAGAGGCTGCTTGGCCAAAGCAATGCCCTCAGTGACCAACACTCTACCTGCTGGGTCGTTGGTTGGGAGGGGCTCGGCAGGAAGCAACTCGACTGGCATGGGGGGCCCCGGGCAGAGGGTACAGTAGAGACACAGAGGGGATGAGAGAAGAGAGAAGCACAGACATGGGCTTTCGAAACAAAAAGATGCACACAAGCAACAAGGACTCCTGGGTCCCCAGACCATTATCGCAGGTAACCATTTCTGGAAGTCATCAAATCCATTCCCCTGCCTCCAGATAGGGCAATATCTAACCCTACTCAGGTCGACAAGCAGTCCCCTTATTTGCTGGGCTCTCTAGGAAAGAGGATGTACAGCCCCCCCCAGGCCCTTAGTCCCCTGTCTTGGAGTCTTTGATAAGTATCCAGGAAGCTCTTTTTTAGGTGTCCTATCTAAATCCTTTCTGCTCTTACCTAGATCCCAGTTAAAGGAAAAACATCCCGTGAAAGATGTGGCCATGAATAAAGCATGGGGTAGGGGTGTGTGTGGCAACTGCCCAGGGTCCCCCAGGAGAGCAGGTGGACTGGCAGTGCAGGCACTCACCCTTCTGCTGCAGAGCTAGTTGGCGCTTGGTCTCAATGTCCTGCAGCGTGGCTGCCAGATTGCGAGGGAGGCTGCCCGTGCCATTCTGGGTGAGTAGAGCACTCTGCAGAAGGAATGGAGCATTGGGACATGGGACTCAAAAGACCCCAACCCCACCCCCAAGGCTTTCATGGGCAGGTGGCCTTGGCCTCTCCCCAGTGCAGCAGTCACCATCCCCCGCCACACATGCAGCCCCACCCACTGTCCTCAGACCTTTGGGGAGGGGCTACGGCCCAGGGTAGCCACACTGAGCTGGGAGGAGGAGGAGGAAGAACCAGAGGAGGAGGGGAGGGGGCCGCTGCGGGTCCGGGGCAGAGGGCTGGTGGCCTCGCCATCCATCTTGGAGCGGTAAACCTGGAGGGAAGAGATACTGCTTGGTGACTTCTGGCTCATTCACTGGTCGCCACCCCCATGTCGTGTGGGCCGGCAGTGATCCGAGGTACTGCCCTGACACCAGGCCTCTAAAGCCTCTGGCTCTAGCTGACAATAGAGTTGAGTCTCCTGGGCCAGCCCAATGGGCAGATGCTATTGGCACCTGCCAAGCCTCCTTTCCAGGCTGTTCCTTCCTGAGCGAATCCTTGACCCAGTCCTGGGTCTGAAAGAGGACCTGTAAACTGACCCAGGCAAGGAGTTAATGTCATGCAGAATTGTGCAGGAGACCAACTGGAGGCTGGGTTCCTTCTGGTCCCAGCTCTGCCACTAATAGGCTGTGTGACCTTGGGCCATGCACCTCCCCACTCTGGGCCTTGGCTTCCTTATCTGCAAAAGGAGGGAATAGGACTAGACTAAATAATTGCCCAGCTCCCTCGTAGCACTAAAGTACAGTGAATATGTCCTTTGGAGTCAAGAGCCCTGACACTATCATAAGCTCTGCTGCTTCCTGGCTGTGTGGCCTTGGGGAGATTACTTATCTTCTCCTGGCCCCAGTGTTTGTTTGATCTGTAAAATGAGAGTTAACATCATCTACCTCAAAGGCCTGTGGTGATGATTAAATGAATCAAAACATGTAAAAGTCTCTAACCAGCCAGGCACACAGAAGAGATGCCACACACATTATATGATCAAAGGAAACACAGAGTTTTAGCTCAGGTCACCGTCTTAGATGTACAGTGCCTTCACTCAAAGTATGAACCTTTAGTGGCAGAATCCCAGACACTACACCAAGTCAGTGGAGTGAAACTTGGGAGAAGACTATCCAAGCACACTTTCCCTACCCCACGGTCAGTAGCTTGCTGCAGCTGTAGGTAGGCCCATGCCCTCCATGGCAACTCTGAGGGTGCTTGGGCATGTTCTCAGGGCTGTCATTTCAGAGCCTCTGTCCCCTTCTTTTATGCCTTCAAATGTTACCCCTGGGGAGATCAGGAGAACAAAATACTGGCAGTTCTCCCAGGACACATGAGTTTCAGTTGCAACAGGTCCAAGCGTGTGTCAGGCCTCCAGACTTGGGGAGAAGCTCTGGGGTTGAAGGCTACCAAGGACAGAGCAGACCCACAATCTAGCCTAACATGGGGCACCAAATAGATCCCAATCTGACCATAGCTCCAGAACACCCTTCCACTGGACAGTCAATCATGTCACCCTTGAACTCAGGAGGCTGGCCCTCCAGCTGCCCAAAGGGCCAGGACGGCTGAGCATGGAAAGACCCTCACCACCCTCTCAGGGCCCAGAGGCCCCCTCGTTGCCCTGGCTGGGCTGGCCCCCACCACCCAAGGTGGCACCTGTGGCTGATGGATGGCCAGGAGGTACTCAGAGCAGAGAGGAGCAAGGACTGGGAAGGGATGGGCAGTGAAGGAGGGGGTTACCTGCAGCTGACGGGAAGCTTTGGCAGGCAGAGGCGGGGGGGAGGAACAAGGAGAGGCTGCAGCAAGGCCAGTCCCCAGCCCGGCCATCAGCTCCTGGTACCACTGCTCTAAGTCTACAGCAGGGAGCAGCAGCTTCTCCATCTGGAGGGGTGGATGGGGAAGGGACAAGGGACAGGAGGGGAAGGATGAAAGGAGAGGCCAGGAAATAAGGGAAAGGAGAAGGGAGGAAGAAGGAAGGGGAAGATTGGAGAAAGGGTGAAGGAAGGCCAGGTCAGGGAAGTGGACAGGAAGGTGAGGAAAGAAGGGAGAAAGGAGAGCATAAAGAGAAGAAAGAGAAAAACAGTGAGAAAAGAGTTGCCCTGAATGTGCTAAGGACAAAGAGAATCAGTCAGGGTATAATCCACGGACCACAGACACGTACTATGCCAGCCACGAAGCCAGCCAGCCAGCCAGAGCCCACAGGCACTGGGCACTCCCCTTGGGCTGGCTGAGAGCAGAGAGGCCAGGTAAAAGGCAGAGGTAAAATACACCACACACACACACACACACACACACACACACACAGCCACACCACTCATGGGTGGGGGTGGCTAGAACACATGGACCACCAACCTTGGATGAAGGCATGATGGAAGCGAAGGAGGAGGAGGAGGGTGGCTCAGGAGGAAGGCGGGTGGTGGGAACCAGGTCCCGGGACGCAGAGGCCCAGGGAGGCAGGCCTGATGCAGGGACTGGGGGCATGGGCAAGATGCCCCACATCACCTTTAGCTGCTCAAGTGTCACGTACTTGGGGGAAGGCCAGATGCAGGAGGAAATACAAGAGGTTAATGCGACTGGACCACAAAAGATGGCCCTGTCCATGGGGGAGGGAAGAGAAAGGACAGAAAGCATAGAGCAGAGGCGGCTTGCAGAGCCCGAGAGAGCCAGAGTCCTCTCAGCATGATGCCCTTATCCTAGAGCAGAAGGCCTGCCCCTCCCCGAGCCGTCAAGAGCTGAAGAAAGCTCCCAAGGCCCTGGAGAAGAAAGGGAACCACTCCCAACCCCCCCTTATGTCAGCTGCCTTTCTCCCTCACTGTTGAAGACAGACTCTGCTGTCCCCCAACTCCCACCCAGGCCCAAGAGGCAATATGGGGCATCCACAAAGAGGCCCTTGGGCGCAGGTGGGTACACTTGGTCGCTGGTACCTCACTGTCAGGCAGGGACTGGGCGAGCACGCTGGGGGAGGTGGCAGAAGCATAGGGGTCCAAGCGGGAGCACAGCTGGAAAACCTCTGCCAGGCTCACATACTCCTAGGGTGCCCAGTGGGAGGAGGAGGGATGGACAGAGAAGAGGTTAACAGGGTTCACCCAGATACCCAACACCCCACACTCCATGCCAGGCCACAGGGCCATCACTCCAAGTCAACACAAAATCCAGAGCACTATGGCCATAGATGGCTGGGGATGGGTAGGGGAAGAGGTGTCAGAAAAGGGCAGACAGAACTGTCTGAATACTCCTCCTGATCTCCACTTTTGGGGCCACCTTGGCATCCAGTTCCTACCCCAGGAAGACCTTGAAGGCCCATCCTTGGGTTTTCCCTGGGCTGAGGGCAGGCAAAGAAGTCCAGGGAAGGCCTTCCAAGAGCCCACTGAGGATCAGGACCCAGCTCCCAGAGACCCCACCTATCTCCAACATCCTGGGCATTGCCAGTGGGGCACACACAATCAGCATCAAGTACCAGTCACCCCATTCCCCAGGGATGCCTCGCACCTCATCCACTGGGGCAGGAGCTGGAAACAGGCGGGGGGAAGTGGAGACACCACTAGGGCCTGAGCAAGATGGGATGTGAGAAAGAGGCCCTAGCAGGGAGCAGCTAAAAGCCCTGGCAGAAAAATGGGCCTCTGCCCAAGCTAAGTAATTACAAAGATGCCAGCACACTCAATTGTGGGTTGGGAGAACAGGGACTGTCATACTCATCACATATCCTTAGAACCTGTGCTTATGTAGGTGCTGGGAGTATAGTAGACATCCATAACGCATGCTGAATCAAAGCACAGGATCCTAAGCCTGCCCTACCCAGGGGGCCCATTGAGGCCTAGCTCCAGAGCCATATTGTCTGCTGGGGGTCAAAGAAAAGAAAAATGAGCCAGAGGATCCAGTGTGCTGTGAGAACTGATCAACGGCATGCAGGATACATGCAAATTAATATGCAAATCGATGCTGTGATTTTGCATGGGCTGCCCAGGCACTCTATGGAACAGCAAGATAGCACACTCACACAAACTCTCCCTAACTCTGGCTAGCCAAAGGATTATCACCACATGCCCTTCAGCTAGGCCCTGGGGTGGAGCTGTAGGCAGGAACTCGGCAGGCAGGCAGACAGGCAGTGGGCAAAGCACAGCACCCAGTTAGCTGTGATTACCTCTTGTGCTTTGCAGCACAGTGAAGTGGAAGCAGGTGGGGTTAAGGGGACAGAGGATGCCCCAGCCTGAGAGGACCCTGGCAACGGGCCCAGAGCCTTTTTCCCCAGCCCCATTTCTGAGGACTCAGAAATGAGCAGCTCAGCCTACAGAGAGGGTACACCGTGAGGAGCCTCACCCCTCACACTCAGCCCTCCCACTCCACCCCAGGCCTAAATTGCTTGTGCAGTGAGGAAGGGAGGGAGTGAAAGAGGTCGGGAACTGGGCATGTCCTAGTTGGACCTCACACAGCAGACATGCAGACTTGGGAAAAAAATCACTTAAGGGCCCTCAATGCCCGCTTCTGAGATAAGAGCCTGGCTCCAGAATGAAACCCAGGGAGCCCCAGAATCAGGACCCCTAGATCCCTATGCTCACCCTCAAGGTGAGTCTGCCCAGCCCTGCCCTCTCCCAAACCTCTGAGCTGTCCACCCACCCCACCCAGGCCTCCAGGCCCCTCAAATATATTCAGCCATATAAAATGGTGAAATCAGTGGGCTCCTGGGAAAGATGCAGCTGGTAGCCATGTAGGGTCAAATCCCAGATCTCAGGGCCATTCCTCCTCAACTTTCTCCAGTTCCAGAAGATGCCTCATACTCCACCTCAGCCATTGGGGTGAAGGTGCCTCCCAGGACACCGCTTGGGCCTGAAGCTGGGCTGACCCAACCATGTCACCTCTTTGAGGGTCGATGTGGTCTTCGGGAAAGGCCTGCCCCCTGTGAGTGAGTGGTATCTCCTCTCCAGCATAGTCAGTTTCTCCTTCTCCTGCAAGCCCAGAGTGGCAGAGTCAGAGAAATGGGAGCAAGGGCAAGGGAGGAGACCACACAAAGGGGGAGCCCCCTGTGCAGGCAAATCTCCACCCCAGCCCTTCTGCACTCCCCTCCCACTACCCCACTCTCAGATTCCTCAGCCCAACCTGCCAAAGGCTACCTTCTGCAGGAGCTGCAGGGAGGCATTCTTGTCCCGGGCCAGGCGCTCCGACTCTTGCACGGCCTGGGCCCGGATCTGCCCAGCCTGACTGTCCAGGATGGCCAGGCGCTCCTGGAGGAGAAGGGATGGTTGGTCAGGCCCTCGGAAGACAGGGCTGAGCCCAATGTGACACTTGGCTGATGCTCCTGCCCAGAGACATCAGACTCAGGTGATGGGAATCACCCAACTCTTCTTGGCCTCAGCTCACCTCGGGAAAACTCAGGCTGCCATGGTCAGCTCCTTCCCTCACTTCTCCCTCCCTCAACCAGTGACTCCTGTGCCACCAGACACACTACACACAACTCAAATCCCCAAATCTCCCTTCCCCCAGCCCCACAGCTAATGGGTCTTGAAGCCTAGAGACACTGAGCAGTTCTCCACCTGCCCTACTCTCTCCATTCCATCACCACTGCCACCACCCAAACCAGGCCCTCTGCATCTGTGGCCTGGACTGTCTCACTAGCCTGCTGCTTCCACTCTCACAACTCTGATCCACTTCACACTGCCACAAAATACCTTCCTAAAATGGCCTTTGCTGATCTGAGTTTTCTAATCCTTCTATAAAGAATACATATTACTTGAATAATTTTTTAAAAATCCACAAGTAAGGTCAGATCACTGCTCTCCTCACAATCTTTCAGTGGCTCCTCATCACCCACAGGATAAAGCACAAGCTCCTTCAAGGGCTCCCAGAACTGGTCCTGCCCTTTGCAGCCTTCTCCCTGCCAATGTTGTACACTCAGCTGTGCCGCTGAACACTCTCGGGACTTTCTTTTTTTTTCCTTTTTGTCTTTCTTCGTGACCAGCAACGGCATCGCAACCCTTGGCGCTGCTCCCGCACCTCGCTCAGCCAGTGAGCGGGAACCGGTCTGTATGTGGGATCCGAACCCTCGGTGGGAGCGCCACCGCGCTCCCAAGCAGCGCACTGTAGCAGTGCGCCACCGGGCCGGCCCTCTCGGGACTTTCTTAATGCTGCTCTCTTAGCCCGGGAGAGCTGTCTAGTCGTCTCCACCCATCAAAAGCTTACTTATTCTCCAAGACCAGAATGAATGGCTACCTCTTCTCCAAAGACTTCCCTGATTGCCACTCAATCTCTCTGTTCCCTCCTCTGTGCTCACATTATTCCGTATCACCATCTACCTTGTATTATTATTTGTGAATATATCTGTCTCCACCACCACCACCCTGCCCCAAATGTAAGCTCCAAGGACAGGGCCAGTGTCTCGTCTGTCTCCATATCCCCAACTGGGCTTAACACAGTGCCTGGCTCAACAATCATGTGCTAAAAGGAAATAAAAAGAAAGTAAGCGAGGGGGAAGAATGGGGGATAAGGGAAAATGGGCTGGGTTAATCCCAGGAGGGCTTCCTGAAATAAGTTGCCTTAAACCACCACCCTTAGGAGCAAGACATGGGAGAGGAAGGTGTGAAGAAAGGAACTGTCCTAAATTTGGGGTGAGTCCAAGAGAAGACTGAAGCAGGCTAGGCAGTAATCCTCAAAGCAAGAGCTGCCATTTACTCAGAACCTATTAGGAGCCAGGAACTCGGCTAAGGGCTCTGCATTTTTTACCTCATTTAACCCCCTTATGAGGCAACTGTCTTTATGCCCATTTTACAGGTATGGACATATTTAGGAGCTAAGGTCTCTTAGCTAGTAAGTGGTAGAACTAGGATTAGAACCAGATCAATTAGACTACAAGGCTGGTACTCTGAACCACTCTGAATCAGAGTGGAGAGGACAGGGGAGCACAGGGCACCAGGGCAGACAGAGCCTGGGGTGCGACACTGGGAGCTGGGGGATGGAAGCTGGGGAATCCTCATGAGGAGGAGCATGAGGCAGAGTGTGACCCCCGGCTCCCAATGGCTGAGCTCCAGTTTCCCAGGGGCCAGGGTGTACATGGGGAAGAGAAAAGAGGAGTCCTCTACTGCCAATCTCTCACAAACTCCTTGCTGCCTACACCCACCAGGATCTTAAAGGGATAAGATTAGTGGATCTAAGGCTCCCTGCAGCATTCCTCTAGAATGAAAGAGGAAGAGGCAGAGAAGTGCCAGGCCCCAGCCCAGTGCAAGTACAGTGGAAGAACATGGGATTGGAGGCCAGGTGGCCTGAGTTCCAATTCTGACTCTGAAGCTTACACACTGGGAGGCTCTGGGCAAATACGTAGCTTCTCTGTGCCCTAGTTCCCTTGTATATAAAATGTGGATAAGAGCACCTGATTTGTGAGACCATTCTAAGGCTAACATGCAATAACCCAAGGAAGTCTTATGTGCTCAGGGAATGTGAGTTTTCTTCCTTCCCTTCATCAGCCTCACAGCCAGACAGTGGATGCAAGGCAGAACAGCTCAGGGAGAGAAGCAAGGGATCTGTACTTGAGAGCCCAGTGGCTCCCCACTTACCATCAAACCCAGGCTAGCCAGCAAATCTCCCAATTCACTACCTTTGGAACCTTCCCCTGATCTCACTGCCCTCATCTCCTTCACACACTCCAGCCAGGCATACTGCACATGAATGCACATGTGGGCATGAACACAAGCCCCAGTCATAGGTGTGTGACCCGCCTGGGCCACCCTCCCCATTCCCCACAGCCTCTTCCTAACCCTTGCTAACATGAACTTCCTCCTGACTTCACTCCCCACTCTCACACACACACACGCCCTATCATCTTCTCACTGTCCATGCCTGCTCTGGCTGAGACCAGCAGCAGACAATCACAGCACCTAGCACATCAGAGCCGGCCAGGAAATGGCCCAATCCTCTTTACAGCTTAGCATAGCCAGGGCTTAGCCAGGGCTGGAACCCAGGTGGACGCCCTTTCTAGGGCTCCTGGCCGGCTCTAACATGCAGATCTCAAATCTTATGTATGTGTCCCAGCATTTCCATCAGACAGCGAGCTCTTCAAGGGCAGGGGCAAGCCTCCTGTTTAGTCTCCTCTTCCTGTATCTCCATCTTTCACTTTCCTGCCAGGCCAGTGCCCAGCTTGGAATGTGAGCCAAATCCACTTTCCACTGGAAGACTGAGGGAGTTGGGGCTTAATAATAATAGCTATCCTTCGCTGAGAGCTTACTACAATCATATTCTATTCTGTCTTTACACCTTGTTTAATTCTTTTTTTTTTTTTTTTGGCAGATGGCTTGCATGGGGACCCAAACCCTTGACCTTGGTGGTACGAGGCTATGCTCTAACCATCTGAGCTAACCAGCCACCCTACATCTTGCTTAATTCTCACAACAGCCAGTTGTAGTTCCCATTTTACATATGAGGAAACTGAGGCACAAAAAGGTGAAGTTAACTTCCATGAAGTCATCCACTGCGATTCAAACTCAGGTCACTGGCCTCCAACCCCCACCAGACTATGTGCCACAAAGCAGGATACAGATGGGGCACACCTTCCTCTTGGCAATGCTGCGGAGCAGCTCAGCTTTGCTCCGGAGCAGCCCCTGGCCCGCCAGCTCCCGCTCCTCCTCCACTCGGCTCTCCCGCTCCAGCTGCTGGAACTCCAAGTCCTCAAAGAGCTTTGTCTCAGTCTCCAGGGTCTCTGCCTCCTTCAATGACAGTGACAAAGAGGGTTGGGTTGTGCTTGTAATACCACTCTGGGCCTGGAAGGCCAGGCCACAGAGGTATGAGCTATAGGAGCTGGACCCGGGGGGGTGGGGGGAGGAATTGGGGAAGGAATCTGCCCCCACCCAATCCCCTCTGCTTTCTTTGGCTTTGCCCCTTTCGTGGGCATCACAGACTAGAGTGCTGATCCCCCCAACCTTCCCTGTCCCCTCCAAGCCACAGCACCGACCCTGGTGTCCGGCAGGTACTGCAGGGGCCAGGTGGTCCCGTCCCACCGCTCTCCTCTCTTCTTTCTGGGTGGGAGGCCGGCCCTCGGGGGCCGGGGGAATGGGGGCTGGTGGAACTGACCCTTCTCAGCTGCTCCTGTAACTGTTCCCGCACTGACTCGGGGCAGTTATCGAGCTGCGTCTGGAGCTCGGCGTAGAGCGCCTGGCGGGCCTCCAGGTGCCTCCGTCCCGCGGCCAGCTCCGCCCTCTCCTGGTCAGTGGGACGGGGAGGGGGAGGGCGGGCACAGGGGAGAAACAGAACACACACTCCTCAACTCCGGCCCGGCAGTGGCGGGATGGGGAAGGGGCGGCGAGGGCGGCCAGGGCGGGACAGAGAGAAATGGAGAGCGCGAAAGGGGAGAAGAGAAAAAAAGAGGAATGAAAGAGGAGAATAACCAGGAGAGGACAAAGAAAAGAGTAGAAAGGGAAAGTGAGGAGGGAGAAAGGTGAAGAGGCAGAGGGTGGAAGGCCAGGAGTTGAGGGATTAGACAGGACTCAGAGGTGCAGGGACGGTGTGACACAGGCGGAGGTGGGGCGCAGGGCAGAAATTTTGGTCTCTTGGAGTCCCCGAACTAGAAATGTCTGGGGAGGACCCAAGAAAAGGCCCTCTATTTTCTCTCCAAACCAGTCAAGGCCAAAGCTGGTTCCACATCAGGAAAGTGGAGCTCGGTTCCTCCCTTTCTACCACTGCCTGGAGACCAAAATTTAACCCTGGGAGGGTTACATCCAGGGAGGAGTGTGAATCAGGAGCTGAGGGTGTTACAGCTACAGCAGTGCCATCGACGGACCCCAGCCCAACCCCCTCGGCCTCCCTCCCCTCCTGCCCAGGGTGGGGGTGGGGTGCCGGCACTGCAGGCTGAACTTCAGTAGGGATGAGGGTTGTAATTAGTTCGGCCGTTGACACGGTAATAGGAGCCCCAAGAGTGGGTTCAGAGAGGAGGTGGATGGTTCTGTCTGGGGCGAGATGACACCTCTGAGGGCGGGAAGGGGGATGAGGGGAGGAGTTGGTGAGTCACCCCTCCAAAGGACAGGCAGAGGAGAAATGGTGATTACTGATTCCAAAGCCAGAGTGAGGCCATGGGCTGGGGAGGGAAGCCTGTGAACCTTCTCCGCCACCACCATCACTACCACAACCTTAAACAACTGGGTCCAGAAGAAGGCAAAGTCCAGGCCTCTGACAATCCCAGGTCAATGAGAAATGAGGTTAGGCAGTTTCCTTTGAAAATACTGAGCTTCACCCCTGGGAGTAAGACCCTATGCTGAACCCTGTTCCCCAATCCCCCACCCCTCTACCCCACATACGTACCCATCCCTAAAGAGGACCTGATCAGGCCAGTTCCTGAGGGCCAGGCACTTCCCCATCCTTGGACTCAGTCTTTAAAATACCCTATGTTCTGCGTGGCTCAGGGGTCGGGGTAGGTGCGGAGGCCACCCATTCCCATCCTCTGATTGGGGTATCTGAATTGGGAAGCCCCAGGGGGAAGCTAGAAAGAGTAGCACTGTGTTGGCAGAGAGACCCTGTGCAAGCCCTCCAAGGCCATGCCCACAAACGGACTTTCTTACCCCTCACCTCCAGAGGGCAGGCAGGGGGCAGGTGGAAGACAGCCTCCCTGTGCCATGCAGGAAGCTGCCAACAATCTGTGGAGGCAGCAGCCCAGGCGTTTCCAATGGGACAAGCTCTTCAGGATGAGCAGCTCCTCAGCTAGCATTTCCCCCACCCATATACCCCGCCTGCCATTGCCCCATTAAGTTGAGCTGTGCCCTCCTGCCAATCACTTTCTGATCAAAACCTTGGGGTCCCACACCAAGAAAAGAAGGAGGCAGCATTAGAGGATAGAGGCCAGGGGCACAGAGGCACCCACGGAGTTAGTGCAAAAGCAGGCATGGCTCAGTTCTGCCTGGGTGGCACTCGCAGTTAGGGGCATGCAGAGAGCCCAGGACAATGATTAGAGGGGGAGTTAGTGCAGGCCTGATTGGCAAGCATGGAGTTAATTTGGCACAGAATTTGGGAGTGTGGTTTTGGGGGCCAAAGCCAAAGCTCTATAAAAAAAAAAAGGGTCAAAGAATTTTTAAGATTCTCAAAATTGAGGGCAGGAAGAAGATACCCTCAAAAAATCCAGGAGGAAAATTAAATTCTTGGAAAAATACTGTCAAATCCAGAAATAGATGACCCCTCTCCACTTCAGATCTTTTGGCACGTTGTTGGGCATCTTGGGTGTGGCTGGCACGGCCCCTGTGGGACGGAGTGGCCCCTGCAGGCTGGCATGAAATCTGAAAGGGGTACGAGCAGGAGCTGGGACCACCTGGGACAGGAGGCTGCAGATCCTAAAGGCTCAGGGGCAACAGAGGCCTGAGGGCCGTCTCCCAAAGACCACATCCTAAGCATGTGAACCATGCTTGGAGGGAGAGGTGCTCCAGACGGGAAGCACCTGAATCACTCCCCAGTATCAGTCCCTTGGGCTGTGCTCACTGCCCAAGAAGGGGCTTTGGCACTTCCTAGATGGCCGTGTAGAGCCCAGAATGGCAGGCACCCAGGCACCCAGAAGTAGCACAGAGACCCAGACAGAGGAAACCCCAGCAGTGCCTTCCAAGCTGGTACCTTCCACAGAGCACAAGGCCCCCTGTCCCTGGAGGCCACAGAGACCACCTGGTTTGCAGGATGGATAACGAGGTAAGGGGTACAGGGCCCCAGAGAAGGCATTTCTCTTTCTCTCCCAGGCCACTGGTATTCAGCACTGGGCTGGGCCAGTTGTGGGTTACCTTGTCCCTCTCCTTCTGGATGCCCATCTCCAAGGCTACCAGCTTCTCCTGCAGCTGGTCCACTGCCTTCTGCTCCTTCTGCAGCAGCACCCTCTCTGCCTCTCTCTCCCCCTGCAGCAGCGCCCTCTCCATTTCAGCCTGTGGGCAGACACCAGAGTCCTTGTCAAGGCAGCTGGCCTCAGGCTCCTCTCTGGAGGTCTCCACTCTGCCTAGGTAGGAGTCCAATCAGCACCCTCATGGCTTACCTCTCGGGCTGACTCCTGCAGCTGCTGCTCCAGCTCCTTCACACGGACCTTGAGCTGCTCCACGCGCCCCAGCACCTGAGCCCGCTCCTCTTCCAGGGCTAGCACCTCTCCCTGGAGCTTGCTGCTAGGTGCATCTTCATGCTGGAGGGGAGAGAAGCCATCAGCAAGGGAAATCTAAAGCCTTTCAGGATCAGACTAAGAGAATGGATTGCCTATTCCTCAGGGAACTTGGAAGGGGTAACTGTACTGAGACAGGAGGCTAATTCTCCTCCCTGCAAGAGGAGCAATAAGGGCTCAGCGAAAGGGAATAAAGATTTACTACTGAGTGCCAGGCCTGGGTGGGGCTCTAAGGAAAGGCAGGCCATAAAGCATATTCATAGCTGGGGAAACTTGACACCTCCCTTCTCTTCCTCATCTCATTTCTACACCTCTGGTCTCAGGTCTCTTCCCAAACTTGGTCCTTTAACTACTTGCCCCTCACTGGGCCTTGACATTCACCATGCCAGCTGCTGCTGCCCCCTAGCAGGTCCAGCCCCAGCCCCCTCGCCCTGTCCAGTCCCCTCCATCCCACCTCTTGCTGGGTGCTCTCGGTGCTGCTGCACTCCTCCTTGAGATTTTCCTCATCTGAGCGTTCCATGCTCTCCCACAGGCGTTGGGCGGCACCTCCAGTCTCCTCACTGCTTCTCCCAGAAGCTCCAAAGCTTCGTGAGGGCCTCCTGCCTGCCAGTGCCAATGCTGCAGTGGCCTCCCCAATGCTGGGCAACTCCCCGGCCTCAGGTCCCCCGTCAGCCCGGCTGTACTCGGCACACAGGTTCAGAATGGTCTCAAGGCGCTGGCGTTCCTGGGAAAGGTGGACAGTGCAGGGCATGAGGAGAAGGAGGAGACTGAGCTCTGGTGGACCGACAGCCAGGCTCAGGGTCCTGTCAGGAGGGATAGCTAGGACACTAGGGGCTAGGGCCTCAGCATCAAGTCAGGAGAAGCCTAACCCCAAGATCCGGGGGAGGCAGAGGCAAGCAGGGTGGCCCAGAAGTGGGCAGGAGGAACCAGGCTGTTGTGCCACCTGCCCACGTGGCCAGCCCCTCCCATCTTCCTGTTTCCTTTCCCTTCTCATTCTATCCCAGGATGGAGATTTCTCATGGACACACAGGGACATGACCAAACACACACAAGAATACACACTAGCAGGCAGACTAAAGACCACAGTAAGACACAGATAAACTCAAGTGTTCATGCTGACATGGCTACACACAGATCTACAGACACAAAGCCTCACTGACACACCAGCACTGACACACAGGCCCACAAGGACGCAATGTGTACACTGGCCCTGCATTAATAGGCAGGTATACCCACAAAGATACCAGCCCTGACATGCACAAGTGCACACTGACGCACACTCACACAGATAAACACAGTCTAGCATAAAGACAGGTGGGCTCCTACGTAGACAGGGCTGGAAAACAGACCCACGGGCCCATAGGGACCTGACACCCAGCCACAGACACACATGGAGAAGAGACAGACCTGGTCCTACTTATCTCCACCTTAGCTCCAAGTCACCCTTAGGCAGCCCTTGGCTCTTTACCAGCAGAGTGGGTTGCTGCCAGTCCATGAACGTCCACGCTCAGGGTGTGAGGGCTCCATGCCCTGCCACTTAATCTGTCCCCTCCCCCCACACACCCCCATTCAGATACAGTCACATCTCAGGGGCCTAGGAGGTGAAGGATAGATGGTACAATCATGTCCCTGGTCTGCTTCCCTCTCTCCCATTCATAACACCCCACCTCTAAGGCCCAGCCCCCAAGGCTCCCATGGTTCTCAGGGTCCTTCCACCTCCTCAGGTATCTCTCACTACCTACAGTTTGGCCATGACTGCCCAAGACACTTACCCAGCTTCCCTCCTGCTGCTTGCCCAGTTCCACAGCAAAAAAAACCAGGAACAGAGCCTCAGTGCCCAGGAGGCTGGGCCAGTGACCCCGCCCCTGCCTCAGGACCCAGATAAGCAGCCTGGTTGAGGTGGGAGGGGCAGGGCAGGCAGCCTCCAGGATTTAAAGTGGCAGGTGGGGCAGGTCAGGGCTGGTGGTGAGGTGTGCGCTTGTGCGTGGGGAGAGGGGTGGGGAGGCTGAATGGAGAAGTTGGGGGAGGCTGGTCTCAACTCTCTGCCTGTGCCAGGCTCACTGCCCCCTCTCCAGGATGAGACCCCAGGGTGGCCAAGCATTCTCATCCAGGCCAAGGCAAAAACAGTGAAGAAAAAATGCAGCAAAGGAAAAGACCAGGGATCCTGCCTCATCTGTCCCCCACCCACCACACCCTCACCCAAAACTGTCCCAACCTCTTCCAAAAGGGTCTCCAGACAAACCTCCTCATTCTGGCTCTCCTCCTCAAACCAATCCCAGGGTCCTGGCCACCCCTCCCCCTCCAAGAACTCTGTTTTTCTACGCTCAAGGAAGAGAGAGCAGAATCCATTCTCCTATATGTGGGCTTGAGTATATACGCAGCAGCCAGAGCCCCTTGAGCTCCCTGTGCTATCTGGGGAATCCCAGCCCCCACCCAGCTCAGATGCCATCTCCAGGACAGCTGCCCAGAGCCACACCCAGCTCCTGCACACACCCACACGCATGCACACACCCACACGCATGCACGCAGATGCACACAATCACAGGCAGGCCTGGGGTCAGGCCAGGGGCTACCCACCCTGTTCTATCCCTCTTCCCAGCCAACCACACATCCAGATGATCCTGCCTGGGCCAGAGTGAGCAGCTTCCATCCATTTGTAGAGGCCAAAGATAAACAAGAAAGAAAGACCAGGGGCTTTTCTAGAGAACGAGCCTCAGACAGAGTTGGAAAGACAGGAGACTTGGGTTCCAATTTCAGTTCTACCAGAACTTGCTGTATGACCTTGGACAAATCCATTCCCATCTCTGGCCCTCAGCCTTCTAATCATCATGACCTGTTTCTCAAACTGAGAGGTACGAGGCCTCACATAAATGTGATATGTTTCCTAGAGCTTCATTGTGTTCAGGTAAATAATGTGAAACTTAATTTATACATTAAAACAAATGCTATGTTGTAGAATAAATGCAAAGTTAGCAAGAATTTAAAATAAAGCCTTAGGGATTTCAAAAAAAAGTTCTTCAAGGCACCAGAACCATGAGATACTGGTTACTAAGGTGTATCCTGGAAGTGGGGAAGCTTGAGAAGCCCAGGCTCTGTCCAAGAGCCATCCCCCCACAACCCCTGCACTGCCAGCTGGCCTGCCCACGCCCTGGCAGAGATCCCGTCATGGATGGTGGCAGCCTTCCTGGCATCCACTCACCAGCCTCTCCATCTCCTGCTCCCGGAGCCGCTCCTGGCGTTGCCGCCGATGGTACTCCAGGAGGTCGTCCTCGTTGTCACTGATCTCCGTGATGCTATTTTTCCGCTCTCGTGTGACAGGCACCCGCAAGTCCCCACTGGAGAGCTTCCTCTGGGCACGGGGGCTCTGGCGGGGCGAAGCCCCAGTAAGAGAGCCCAGGCTGTAGGCTGGGCTCAGCCTGCCACTGAAGCTGCCCTTGCGAGGTGCCAGGGACTCCCCCAGTGTGGGTGAGGGGCTCCGTGTCCTACGGCCCCGAGCTCCCAGCGTTAGGGAGAAGTCCTCTGGTGAAGCCCCATGGGCTGCCCAACGTTGGAGCCGAGGACTCTCTGCCACTTCCCTGGTTAGCTTGGGATCTGGAGTAGTCCGAGTGGGCACTGGGGAGAGAGCTCGTCGGGATAGAGATGGGCTCAAGGGAGGGAGTTCTCGCATACTGTCCAGGCCCCGCCGGCCCAGGCGGGGACTCTCAGGAGGCTGCAAGGTGCGGGTGGCTAACCCATCTGAAAATGTTCGGCCCACTAGTTGGCGTGAGGGGCTGGTTGTCAATACCCGCTCGGTGCCTGGAGGTTCACGGAAAGGGCTGGGAGGGCGGTCCTGGAGTGTTCCAATCTTGTTGCGGGGAGCAGGGACTGGAGGCTGGAACTTGGGGCTGCCAGGAATGCTGGTAGGCTGGCTGCAGGCACCAGAAGCTGGGTATTCACTCAGGCTGATAGCCACCACGGGCAGCTGCCCACCCAGCCGGGGGCTATCAGTGGCTCTGCGGGCCTCCGCCAAGACAGTGGCTGCAGGGCTGTCTGTCAGCAGACCCCGGAGACCAGGGCTGGGAGGTCTCTCATGACCCCCTTTCCTGCCCAGCCGAGGGCTCTCAGAGGAGCGGGCACCACTCGGGCGGGACTGTGAGGGTTGCAGGGCCAGATGGTAGCTGGAGGAACGGGCAGGCACCAGTGGGGGCACGGAAGGTCCTGGCTCCTGCCCGCTGGGTGAGTGGCTGGCACAGCTCCCACTACTGGCTGGTGAGGAAAGTGGAGAGAAGGCTGGAGAGGTGTTTTCATAGCTGGAGCCCACAGACATGGCACCAGGACTGGTTGGGGGGGACAGCAGGTAGCGCCCACCATTAGCCATCGGTGACAGTGGAGAGGATGCAGCAGGCTTCTTGCCAGCAGCTCCAGGGTCCTCTAGCACCAGTGAGTCCATGATTTCCTGCAAGTCCTTCTCAATAGAGCTCACAAGGGAACTGTGGCTGGCACAGGCCGAAGGTCCCCGGGTTGCAGGCTGTGGGGTGTGGTTCCCATTCACCAGACTTTCTGATTCTGCTGAAGGGAAATGCAAAGAAGCCTCAGGCCCTGGTCTTTGACTTTGGGAAGATGCACATGCACAAGAGCGAGGACACTACTCCACCTCCTCCTAGCACAGTGAGACTGCAAAGGCTCTGGAGAAGAAGCCAGGAGATCTGCATTCTGGTACCAGCCAGCTCTGCCACTGACCTGCTGTTCAACCTCAGCCAAGTCACTTGCCCTCAGTTTCCCCTTCTGTAAAGGATGAGGATGGGCAGGACTCTCCTGGCTCTAACATTTAATGACCTAGGACAGAGTTAGCAACAACGTCAGGTATTTCTAAGCCTACTTGTTGCCGACTCACCCCAAAATTATACTCTTCCTTGACTTGGTTTCCCCAACTTCCTATACCTCTCCTTCAGGAAGAGCAGGTGGAGATTCTGCAAAGGAGATGGAGGCCTACTGCAAAGCTGGCCAGAAGTTCAAGGGGCTCCTAGTCTGATAGGACATTAGGGCCTCCCAACACAGCAGCCAGAGGCCCAGGGGAAAAAAACAAAGCCTTCAGGGCTGGGCAAGGGGTGTGTGCCACACCACTTTGTCCAATCAGTGGCAGGGGAGGGATCTGGTGTTAGTTGCCGGTTCCTGGAAGCCCGGCTGGCCAGCAACTAGGTGCAGCTCAGTGCCTCCAATTATCCTATTAAACCACGCCAGCAAGAGCCTGCCTTTGCCTTGCCCCTGCCGTTGTCAACCAACCAGGAGTCCCTGGAACCACTGTCCCAAACAGCTAAAGGAGTGGTATGCCTATTAAACCACGCCAGCAAGAGCCTGCCTTTGCCTTGCCCCTGCCGTTGTCAACCAACCATGAGTCCCTGGAACCACTGTCCCAAACAGCTAAAGGAGTGGTATTGCAAGGCTTAGATGGGGGTAGGGTAAAACTAACTAGGGAGTGGACTGGGAACCTAGGCTTCTGAGCCACCAAGAGACTGGAAGAAACTAGTTTTTTTGTTTGGAGAAGGGAAAGCCTTTGCAAGACTGATTATGGGTCTAAATTATGGGGAATGGCAAGGCTTAGATGGGGGTAGGGTAAAACTAACTAGGGAGTGGACTGGGAACCTAGGCTTCTGAGCCACCAAGAGACTGGAAGAAACTAGTTTTTTTGTTTGGAGAAGGGAAAGCCTTTGCAAGACTGATTATGGGTCTAAATTATGGGGAATGGCAAGGCTTAGATGGGGGTAGGGTAAAACTAACTAGGGAGTGGACTGGGAACCTAGGCTTCTGAGCCACCAAGAGACTGGAAGAAACTAGGGATTGAGAGAGGAGAAGGGAAAGCCTTTGCAAGACTGATTATGGGTCTAAATTATGGGGATTGTGAGGGACATAGTCAAAGGGGTTGCTATGGGTGCTGGTGATCCCAGTGACCACCCACCTTTCCTCAGGTCCCAGACTATACATTTAGGCCACTGATACCACCCCACTAGGTGTACCTGACATATGTGTCCACCTGCCCCAGCACCACATTGACACCTGTCATCCCACAGCTATCGCAATGCCAGTGCAAAGTCCAGGGTAGCAGACCCACTGGTAGCTTCCTGGTCTGCACCCCAACCCTAGGCAGCTGGGCTGAGGGGGCCTGTGTTGGTTCCCTGGAACAATCACCAATTCTCCTCTGGGGATCAATAATTCACACACAAACTGCAGCTGCTCCACTGAGTCATCGGCGGGCATGGCATGTCCTGAGGGTTGGGCAGGGCCTGAGGACATGATCAGCAGCAGCTGGGACCTACCAGAGCTTACAGGGGGTTGAGCTTAATGCTTCTTTCTGCCCCTCAAGCCACTCTTGAGGGTGTGACTCCCTGGAGATGACAAGAGGGCCAGAGTCCCAGATATTGAGTGGCATCTTCCAGGGCAGTGGGGTACAGTCTGGCAGAACCTTCCATCCCTCAAGGCACATGATTCCCCAATTCCAGCCAAGCAGCACTGCCTGGGATCTGCCCACTGCCTGGCATTCTCCACCAGTCCATGGTAGGAGGCAGTAATCCCAGACCATCAGTATCATCCTTGCTCTAGCACTCCAAAGGAGGACTATCCAAGGGTGTCACCAGCCCAACCCCCTGCCGCAGCTGGGTACCTACCAGGGCCAGAGCTGTAGGGGGCCCCAGGGGCCCGGCCTCCTGCTGGAATCATGCTCTTCATCCACTTGGCTTCAGCCGGGTGGTTAAACCGGAGGAAGGTGGACTGACCCAGGCACAACATGCAGCCTGTGGAGAAAATGAACACTTGGAAGGGCAGGCAGGCCTGAAGCTATCACACCCCACAGCACTAGTAGGCTCACTCCAGGCTCCAAAGAGCCATCTCCACCTGCACTCTCAGTGTTCAGAGACTCCACACCTGATCCTGCCTGTGCTTGAGACAGCCACCTCCAGGGCTCCACAGCACAAGAAAGAATGGAAAGGGCACGGGTGGGTGAATCCCAAGATCTGAGTCCTCATCCTAACTCCTCTTCTTCTTACGAGCTATGAAATCTTCTGGTGAAGTGACTTCACCTCTGAGTCTAGTGATCTCATCAGAAAAATGGGTACAATACCACTGATCTTGCAGGGCTAATAAGGCAGTATATGTGAAAATACTCTGTAAATGGAGAAAGTTTTTCAGAGAATATAGACACCCATGTCTCCCCATCCCCAACCATGATCCACCGCCCCATGGGTAGAAAGATCAGTTTGAGAGGCAGCAACTTCCAGGGACATGAAAAAAGCTCTGAGATTAGGAGACAAGGGAAAAACCATGGATCAATGAGATGACCTAGCAGAGCCCAGAATTTGCTCTGATCCCTTATTATTGTGTGGCCTTAGGAGAGCTGCCACCCTCTCTGAAAGTCTAGGAGTGACCATCACCCTCTTTCTTTATGACAAAGAACCCCTCTGGCTGCTCCCTGGTTTCCCCTGGAATCTAACTAAGCCTAGGCCACTGGGCCTGGCCTCATTCAAGCACATTCCCAGGCAGCTGACACAAGCCCAGTCCTGCCCAGGAAGTACGAGTGCATGGAGTGGGGAGGGTGTATGGGAGCCAGAAAGTATAGCCTGTGGCACCAGGAGTGTGCACAGCGGCAGGTGTGCCCATGGGCGCCTAAGCCTGGCTGGCAGAACTCCGCCTCCCAGCCACATCACATGGCTCCTGCAGAAGATGCTGTGTTGAGAGAAGCCAGAGCCCCGATGTTCTCTACCACCCACCATTGCAATTTATCTACACCCCTGGCCCCTGGCCCCAGCCTCTTGTCTACCCAATCTGGTGCCACTTGGCGCCCCAAGCTTCATGCCAGTCTGAGCTAAGACTGGCAGAGAATTCTACATTCCTGGGCGCTTAGACAGTTCAGCTCAGGCAGGCCACAGGGCAAGGGGCATCCCAGGCCATGTGGGTACCTTGGCAGGTCCCCTACTGAAAAGCTCAGGAGCCTATTCCTGGGACCCTGAGCATTGCTATTTGGTTGGGGGGCAGCTAGCACATAGCAGATAACTGCAGTGGACAAAGCCACCTACTACCCTGGCACATCCACAGGCCCTCCCAAGCAGGTGGGCACCAACAAATTCCAAAGGCTGACGGGTGATTAAGAGAGGAGGCAGTCTTCCCTGCCAAGCCACCAATCAGAGGAGCTAATCCCAGAGCAATCTTAATTGGAATAAATAATAGCCAACCACACCATCCACCTAATTACAAACACAGCTGTTTCAGAAGAGCCCTGCCAGGCCCCTCCCCCTCCTTTCAGCCATTTAGTAGGATAATTAATGATGAGTTCACAGGGTCTAGACAGAACCACTCAACCCTGGGTTCATGTTGGGAGGGGGTCGTGGGTGGTGGGCATCAGAAGTGTGACCACACAGTCCCGGCTGGGAATAGGTGGGGAGTCTGGGTGGATTCCAGCCCAGCAGTGCCAGGCCCACCCAAGGAGGCTATGGGCATCTAGGGACCCTCCACCCTCGCACCTATAACTGAGTTCCCTGCCCTCTCCTTTGCGCCCCCCACACACAGAGGGGGTGTGGCCATGCTGCCTCTGGGCTATAAATAGTGATGCCAGGCAGCAGAGCTGGATCCATATTAATAGAGCGGGCAGGAGGGCAGCAGGACTGAGAGCAGCCCAGCTCCTGCCCAAATTAACTTTCTATTTGCACTCAGGGGCCCCAGGCATTGCCCCAACTCTGGCCCCTACTGCCCCCAGGGGCCTGGCCAGCCTGTTTCTAGGAAGAAGCCCCCTCTCTGCCCTACAACCACAAAGGCCAGCCCTCTCAGAATGCCAGGGACCCCCACCCATCCAGCCAAAGTCATGGTTCATGCCCCTCATGCCCAGAGGGGCTCAGGGCCCAGTTGTGTCCAGGTGGGTGGAGAAGCTGCACATCTGGAGGAAAAAACTGGGCAAAAAACTGGAGAGGGTAGAGTCTACCTGAGAGATGCAGAGGGGAAACGCCACACACAGACTCCTACACATACATGCTCACAGAAACACACACAGACTCCTAGGCATACATGCTTACACACTTACAGAGCGACAGTCACTGCCCTGCTGGCCACACAAATAGAATGGGTTGACCAAAGGGAGGCTGGGTGAAGGGAAAATGAGAGGGAGGGCCTTGGCCTTTCCCATCAGAGACCCCTTTTGGCCATAACACAGGCTCCCCTCATCCTAACCAGGACCCCTCAATCCCATCTGGAGGTGGGGCTGAGGAAGGGACTGCTGAGGTGGGGAAGATGAGGTCTGCACCCTTGAGAAGTGCCCCCAAGCACAGACTCGCCACTCAGAAATGTTCAGGGCACGTAAACAATCCAGTCTCACAGCCTCAAACTCCCCAAAGGGGGCTGAGGACCCACCCACCTCCTCTCGCCCACCCTCCCTCAAATGCCCCTCCAGGCCAAAGCTTCTCTGTGTCCGGCTGCCTGGGGCTGTGGCTGGACCAGGGCTGAGGACTCACCGCCGAACCCGGACCACCGGACCGCTCGTCCCCGCTAGCTCGAGCCCTCCAGGTCCCCGGCCCGCCCCGGGCCTTTGAGGGGGCGGGCCGACCTCCCGCGCCGCTGGCTCCAGCGCCGGAGCGAGCGGCGAGGCAGCCAGCAGCCGCCAATGCCCGGGGAGGGGCGGGCCGGCCACCAGCGGCGGGGGAAGGGAGCCAGGGAGGGAGGGACAAAGGAGAGGCGGAGGGGAAGAGGAAGTGATGGAGAAGAACGGGGAGCTGGATGGAGAGGGCGGGGCGTGAGGATGCTGCGAGGGAGCCAGCTGGGCTGGCCGGAGAGGAAAGGGTCAAGGGAGCTGACCGAAGGTAGGGAAGGTGAAAGGTAAATACAGAGGTCAGAGTATGAAGAGCGAGGAGGCAGGATGAGGGGAGTGAGGCAGCTGGCAGGGTCTCACTCAGAGCCCTCTGTGGTGGGGGGTCAGTGGCTGAGGCCTGGGATCCAGACAGTGCTGGCCCTTGCCTGGCTGTGTCACCTGGGGCCAGTCACACCCTCTGGCCTCGGATTCCTTATCTACAGAATGAAGAGGCTGGGGTCAATGACTGCAGAGGTCCAGCTCTGACATTCCAGGGCTCCATATGCGAGGGAGAGGGGAAGAGCAGGAGCCCCAGGAATTCACCTAGGTCACCAGGTCTGGCTCTGGCCCTCAGTCTGGCACTATAAGGTCACCCTGGGCTGGGAGTTCAGGCCGAGGCAATGCTCTGTGCAATGCAGGCAGCAGTGAGCCCAGCTCCTATCTCCATCCTCAACACCTCCTCTTCTGGCCCCCACTCCCCACAGCTCACCCCATGACCCAAGCTGGACCAAGACACTGCCCCTATCAAGCCAGTCCACCTCCTGGGGCCCCTGAAGCCAACCCTCCCTCCCTAGCCACAATCTGCAGTTGTGCTGGCCCCAGCAAAGAGACTTCCCACCCTAATAAGGTACCGTTTCTATCTGGGAAACACAGCACCACCTACCTCTGAAGCCCCTAGGGTCAGGCTGAGATTCTGAGCCACGCAGGTACCTACCATCCAGCTGGGGTCCCAGAGAGTTCCAGGGACCTGGACTGTGGACACTAGAACCTTACGAGACACACCGCCTTCTTTCTCTCAGATACACACAAGCAATTGCTCAGTCACGCTGACACCCTCTCAGCTGTGCACACTCTGAGTCACACAAACACCCTCACAAACACACTCTGTCTCTCACATTTATTCTTATGCACACAGCCCCCCCAGTCTCCAACCCCTTTCTTATTTACACACTCACTCAGGCACAGCTATCCTTTCACTCAGTCCCTGGAGAGATTCTGAAACAAAAAGATTTGTAAAGATTATTCCTCTTTAGAGAAATAATCAGGCAAAATTTCCACCCTTGCTGAACAGCTCACTCACTACCCCACCCAGCCACACTGCCATACTACACACATGCACACATTTCCACGCTCACATGTGCACACTCCTTAGTCCCCTTCTGAAGGAAAAAGGAAGAACCACATAGGGTCAAATGCAAAATGAAGGGAGGCTTTAAAAAAATCTCCTCAGGAAGAGTGATTCATCCATCTGGAAACTGTGATGGCCAGCTGGATAGACCCAGGCAGACCCAGAGGATGCTGGCCAGTGAGAAATAGGGCAGGAGGCAGAGACAAAGAAATGGGAAGCTAGAAACCTTCACTGCTGCTTTCCTACCTTTAGGGTTTATTAGCCAAGATCTTTATCAGTTTTATAATGGAGAAATGCTGGAGGCTTCACTCCCAGGTTACAGAAGGAATAACTGGGTGACAGGGGAAGAGACTCAGTGTTCTGGGTCTCAGAGAGAGGCAGCTGGATAACCCAGGAGTCCTGGCTCCCCAGCCACACTCCTCTGCTGGCCTCACGCAAGCCCCTACCCTCCAACGAGGGGCTTACGGAATGAACAAGACTTGGAGACAAACAAGGGCTGGCAGTGAATGCTAGGCGTGGATGGGGACCTACTGTCTAGACAGCCTGGGCCCTGAGCTGTGTGGCTTTCTGGGTCCTCCCCTACTTAGTCCCCTCCCAGATCTTTCATGTGGTCTGGCGCTGTGATCTCAGGGTGGAGCAGACTAGACCCAGATTGAGATTCCTCCTCATTTATTTGGTCCTATTCCCAGCTCCACCCCTTGCTCTGTAGAGAAGAGGGCAGCGTGGGATGTGCCAAGATGCCTGGGTAGAGGGGGCGGAATCAAATCTTCCTGGCTCCCTCACTTCATGCTCCCATGTTCATAGCTCTATGGTAAAGATTGGCATCTGCTCTCTGACTGCCTCCCCACCCCCCTGGCCCAGGCATATTCCTGCAAGAAGAGCCTGTCGCTAACATCTCTGATTTCATGAAGTGTGTCTCTCCAAGTTGCCTATGGCTGGGCACAGTGCCCAGAATGATGTATCGAAGTCCTGGCCCAGCCAGAGCAGATTCCTTGTTATTCCCAGGGTAGCACTCTGTTTTTCAATTTTTTTTTTTTTTTTCAGCTGGCTGGTTCAGGGATCTGAACCCATGACCTTGGTGTTGTAAGTCTGCCCTCTAACCAGCCCTCTTTCTCAAAGATGAGGGTCCCCACTACAAGGCCAGATTACAGGAATAAGACAGGGAAAATGATCTTCTTGTACACATGCCCACAGACAGGCATGTGGTCAGTGAGTTCTCATATACACACATAGGAGTACACACACAGACATTTTGGTACCATCAGTCCTGAGTTAACCCCTGCCGCCCTCAGGGGTTATGTTTATGGATCAGTGTATTTGCCGCACTCAAACACACTGATCCATAAACATAAAGAAAGACACAAACACAGAGATGCACAAGCCCAGAGTCACAAACACATCCAGAGACATGTAAACATACTCCAGTTACACAGACATACAGAGATAGCACGTGTACCCTTGAGCCACCCAGTTTCCAAGGAAACGCACTCCCAAGAATGTCCGGAGTGGGGCCAGGCAGGGCTGAGCTTGGTGCCTTGCTCCAGAGATGAGACAAGGAAACCCTCAGCTCCTGGAGCCCAAGGGAGGGGGAGGACTGGGGAGAAGAACACCCATTCCTTTGTGCCTCTGCCTACCCCTCCACAGGCTGCCAAGCTTCTGAGACAGGCAAGCCCAGACAAGAAGGCTCTGGGGCTAGGGGCAGAAAAAGGGAAGGGGGTTTAGGGTCAGAGGAGAGTGGGAGGGTACATACTTGGCAGGGTGGGCTTGTGGCTTGGGAAGGGGAGGTCACTGGGGCCACAGGAAATGCTTAAGAATTCCATCTTGGCCCCAGGCCCTCCCTCTTCTCAGGAAGCTAAATGATGCGCTGGGAAGATCAGACAAGAGAGGCCTACAGAGCATTTGTTCCTTCACCCTACTCACAACATGCAGGGTAAGAATGTTCTTGCTTGTGAAAGTGGTGGGATTTGGGGCTGGGGGAGTAAGGGCTGGGCCTTCTTTGAACTTGACCCTGCCTCCCCTTATGCTCTATTGTCTCACCTCCAAGCACCCATACCTTGGAAAAGATGCTCTCTCTGAGATGGAAGAAGATTGTCAGGAACCAGATGGCATGATAGCCAAAGCTCCAATTTATGGGGGTTGCTCATCTCATTCAGAATCAGATGCCTCGGGCCGGCCCTGTGGCTCACTTGGGAGAGTGTGGGGCTGATAACACCAAGGCCACGGGTTCAGATCCCTATATAGGGATGGCCAGTTAGCTCACTTGGGAGAGTGTGGTGCTGACAACACCAAGTCGAGGGTTAAGATCCCCTTACCGGTCATCTTTAAAAAAAAAAAAAAAAAAAAGAATCAGATGCCTCGAAGTCCCAGAGAAGGCAAGGGCCTGCCTGCTGCTGCTGGCAGACCTGCTTCCCAGGAATCAGTGGCCCACGCCCTGCCCATACTCAAGGGCAGGAAGAAAGGAGTCTGGCAAGGTCAGATCTCCTGGATCAGCTGTGAAAGGTGTAGTATTCAAAGGCTCCAAGGGGTCTGAACAGAGGAGAGAGGGAGACAGTGGAGTGAGTAGGATTTCCACTGCAAAGGGGATTTAGCCAGGAAGAGTCCCCAGAAAAAAAAAAAAAATGCCAGGCCATCAGTCTTCCTGCTCAGAGCCAGGCTTAGTCCAAAGCTCCCATCCTCATGTTAACCCCACTTCTAAACCCCCACCCAAATCTGCTTTTCTTATTCCCCTAACCTGAGGATTCACTGTATGAATTGATGCTTGAAATCCTGCTTCCAGGGTGAACACACCTGGTCTGTCAAAATGCCACCTGGGCCAACCCCTTACCTCCCTGGTAACCGTAGTAATTAGGGACTCCATTTTTACAGCTACCTTACACAACAGAATGGCCCGTTGCTTTGGGAAACAGCATATTCATGACCCAAAAGCTACTGTCAACTGACTTGCAGTGGGAGCAGGCATGTCCTCAGATTTTGTTATCAGAGTTTGCGCTTGCCCCATCCCGATCAGGGGGTGTTGTTCTCCTCTCCCGCTTGGCGTCATGGAACAATGCCACTGATACCCTCTTGTTGCTGCTCCAATTGCTTTTCCCCAACAATGCTAACAACCACATCACAGCCCAGGCCCTCTGATAGCAGGAATCAGAACCTCTTCTCTCCTCATGGTGTGGGGAGGCTGGGTGGGAGTGACCAGAGAAGAAAAGCAGGTTGAAGACAGTCTGGGTGCTGGAGGGGTTTGGGATTTTGTTTAGGCACATCCAGATGCACCTGAGCACACCACCCCTAGTATGGCCACTCAGGCAGTTCTCATGGCAACCACCACAGCAGGCTTCCCCTGTACCTAACAAGCACAGGCTTTTAAACAGACTGCCCCTCTGTTTGGGAGAATCAAACCTTACCCTGAGTGAGCCGGGTGGGCTGCCGGATAGGGAGCCCATCAATAGTGCAGACATTGCCACAAGGGTAGAGGGTGAGGGTGCCCCGTAGGTTCTCGATGTAGCAGTGCTCTGGAGCCAGGCCTGGACCCTGCAGTGAGATGTCCCTGGCTGCAGAGCCAATCACCGTTCTCCCTGGAGACAGGAGGCAAACTGAGTCAGAGGGGTTGTCCAGGCTGAGGAGGTAGGGACGGGACAAGGAGGGCACAGTGGAAGTACATTTCTACCTCCTACTCCAGAAAGAATCCCTGCTTACCACTAGCCACCACTATTGGGCCCCTGAGCCTGGTTGAGACAGTAAGTGATAGAAGCTCTTCTCAAGCAGAAAAAACTCTGCCTGAGAATGTAAAGGCCCAGAGAGCACAGCAGGACCCAGATAGAGCAAAGACAGGGGACAGATAGAGCAAAGAAAGATAGAGCAAAGAAAGGGGACCTCTTTTCTGCAGACCTTCCCTTAGTCCTCGCAACTGCTTCTCCCTATGTCCTTCTGTCCTTTTCTCCCTCATCCCACTCCCCTCTTTTTTCTTAAGGGGACCTCTTTTCTGCAGACCTTCCCTTAGTCCTCGCAACTGCTTCTCCCTATGTCCTTTTGTCCTTTTCTCCCTCATCCCACTCCCCTCTTTTTTCTTCTAAATCTCCCTCTCTCCTTCTTCTCTTGCTCCCTTCTGCCACCTGCAACCCATCCCCTCCCTCACTCCTTCTCTCTTCAGTACACCCTTTCCCTCCACAACTTCTGCAGGAGCAGCCCCTCCCCCGGCAGAGCCCCTGGGACTGGTATTTGGAGAATGCGGGGAATGTAGCATCACCCAGGCAACAAGTGCAGCCAGGAGAGGACAGAGGAAAGGCAGAAGCTGAAAGGTAAAGGGGGCCATGCCAGGGCCTTATCTTGGGAGACCTTGACCCCACTGCCATCTCTCCATTCTCCACCAATACAGTCTCCCATGCCAGGCATTGCTGTGGAGTGGGGCCCCTTTTCTTCTTGGTCACACTGGTTGCTAAGAGCAATGTGCTCTCCTGTTTCTCTCAGTGCTCTCCTCCTTGTTTCTAAACTGATCTTTAATCCCAGTCATGGAGCCAGATTATCTACCAAAGAAGGTAGGCAGTCTGGGAGGCAGAGACCAGAGAAGCAAGTTGGTGGGGTGGGGAGGCGAGCCTTGCCAGCAGACAGCAGAAGGGCCCCCTACCTACAGGAACTTGGCCCCCAGGGCAGAAATGACTATAAGGATGGAGGGTGGCAGGTGGGACACCCTGTCCATACTTACCTTCCTCCAACGGCAGGAGGGTGATAGCCGTGCTGAGCCGCCCACTGCCCAGGCTAACCAGATGGGGTTTGTCCGTTTGCACTTTCAGCCCTTTGCCTGTCTCAATCAGGTCCAAGGGACCTTTCTGCAGGTAGTACGGGTGGGGGATGAGCATCATTAGAGACTCCATGCCAGCACCTTGCCACTCTAGTCTCAGTCACACCAGCACTCTCACCAGCCCTTGCCACTCTCCAAATGGCTCTGAGGGTGCTGAGAGGCTCAGCACAAAATCTTACACAGAGCATTAGTCCACTAAATTGTAATTAGATCTGAATCTAGGCCACTAACTTGTCCCACTGGATTTATCTCAAGTCTTGGCTCAACTGTCCCTTTTGTCTATTAAAACAGAAACAAGGAGAACAGGGTGGAGAGTGGCATTGGGTAAGGAGGAGGGGGTACTGTAGAGAAGGGTAAATCAAGCACCCTGCAGACTTTTCCGTGGCTATCCACTTGGTAATTGCTGGTAACCTGCTAAACTAAATTGCAAGGGAGGGTAGAGGCATGGATTGAGGAGTGATACAAGCCCAGGGTCAATCTGTAAAGTGCTTTCTGACTTTCAAAGGGTAGTTTCTAGGTGAACCAATTAACCTGATTCAGATAAAGACTGAGCTGTTAATAGGCTTGGGACCTGGGGAAGGGCAGAGAGGAACAGAACTGCTGCTCTCCTTCGGTTGGGACCACAGGTGGATAGAAGAACTGAATCCATCCTCACTAACAGCCCTGCCCCATGGCCCCAACCCCACTCACCTGCATCGTGGCCTGGGTCTTGCATCCAGGGCCTACCTGGTTCCTATTGAGCGCATCCATAGTCCTAGGGCTCCAGAGCTCCTGGGGACACAGCAGAAAGCAGGTGAGGTAGGGAGGCCAGGGCAAAAGAGGGAAAGAAATAGGCTCTGTGGTGGGGTTCTCAGGGCAGGGGCAGCATCAGCCACCATCATTCCCAGCATGCTCATGCTGAAGAAAAATGGAGGGAGCTAAAGAGTTTGGTGAGGTGCTGGGGGGTTGGGGGGGATGGCAGTGCCCGGTCTCCAGCCACAGCATTGATACCATACTACATCAGTCCTGGCCCTTGCCACTATAAGCATGAACAGCCCCATAGAGCCCAACCTGTACTTTTGTGCTTTCTTGTCCTATACTACCCAGAACCCAGGTCTTGGCAGTTGAAGACCCTCAGCCATGTGGAGGATTAAGCAGGGTGAGAAAAATCCCTTCCAAGGACACTGGTAGCCCCAGGTGGGTGGCAGGGCTGAAACAGAAGCTCCCTCCCCAACCTTTCTGTCTCCTCTTCTCCCTTTGTCTCTTTTCTCAGGGGTCTCAGCAGGATGTTTTCTTAAGGAGACACAAAAGAAAAACTCAGCCATTCCTTCCATCTCTATATGTTTGAACTCCTGCATCCTTTCTTCCCCAGAAAGCAACACAATCAGCTAAAAAAATTTAGTGGTGACTAATACTGGGAATATAGGAGTCTTGTTTCTTAACTGGCTTGGTGCTGTAAGAAACTTTAGCCCTTAAAATTAGGGGTGAGATAAATTCCAGGGCCAGAACTTGAATCCCCCACCACCACCCATCCCTCTCTCCCTGGTTCCTTTTTTGGAACCTGAGAAATGTGAGGAACAACCTTTGTGTACTAATGTGTGCCCACATGCCTATCCGTTGTCCAACTTGCTGAGGTGAGAAACTTCCCATCTGCTGCTGAAATGTTACTGGGGAAAGCTGAGAAGAGTGTAGTTGGAGGTAGGGAGGTATATCCAGGAAAGCAGGGTTTCCCTCCACTTTTTCTTCTAGCCATCTACTAGGTGACTTGGAGAGGAAGTGGGGACAGAAACCAGCATTCCAAGGAGTGTCTAACCCTGGCAGCGGATCCCAAGGGCCTCAGCTATGAAGTTACTAAATTTACCCTCCCAGCTTCCACCCTTCCGGGCCTGAACTACATCATCTCCGTCACCATTTCCACCCAAGCTAGTGGAAGAGAGGCCAGAACAGAGCCTGGGGCCCACCCCAAGACTGCCTGGGAAGAGGGAAGGCAAAGAACATTAACCCTCACCAAACCCCAAGCTGGCCGGGCATGTCCCCAGGAGTCCTGGCCATGGGAAGAATTTCCAGGAAAAGATTGCTATATTGCTCCTCAGTCTCAGGGAAATCCCTCAGCAATTTCTGAGAGTTGAGAGGCAAGAGAGTGAGTTGGGAATGGGGGATTTATGTAAAAGAGGGGGTAAGAAAAACAAAACAATAAGTAATGATGAAGGAAAGGTATCATCCTTTAGTGAAAAGACCTTTAGACTAGGATGCAAGAGCCTTAAATTCTATGCTGACTTTATTATTTTTAGCTGTAAGATCTTCGACATGTTATTTAACTTCTCTGAAAGTCAAGTCATTCTTCTATAAAACCAGAATGATAAAAAAAAAAAAAAAAAAAAAAAAAAAAAAAAAAAAAAAAAAAAAAAAAAAAAAACACTACAAAACAACTGAAAATATGGATCTTTTAAAATATTCTTTTAAATAAATATCTGAGCTCACAAAAAAGCAAACAAAAGCTCTGGTGGACAAAAGGAGGAAACTGAAATGGAATGGGGAGTGACTGTAAATGCACACAATATTGGGCGGGGGAGGTGTTGATAGAGATTTTCTAAAATTAAATTGTGATGATGGTTGCACAGCTCTATATAATATACTTTTTGAAAATCATTGCTTAAATGATTAAATTAAATTGAGTAGATTTTATGGTATACAAATTATACCTCAATAAAGATGTTAGCTTAAAAAAAAAGAGGTCTGGCTGAAGATTCAGTTACTATATTAATTAAACAAGACTCTGGGAAATGCAAAGCACTATAAAAATACCGGATATTATTATGAGCTGTGTGACCTCGAGCAAGGTACTTCACCTGTATGGGCCTCAGTCTCTTTGTCTGTCAAATTGGAGTATTTGTCACTATCTTCCTGTGAGGCGGCTGTGGGTGTACTCATTTATTTACACCAAAGAACTTCAAGTGGAGATTAAGATTGTAAAGGAATAAGGTTGATGTGGAACAAGAGTAGAGGAGAGAAGGGAATAAGGAGGTGAAAGGAGAGGTAGAGATAAGGTGAGAGGTGTAGGGAGAAGATAAGAAAAGATGTAGAGATTGGGAGGTGCGAGGCTGTGGCCCCAGCTCGGAAACCTAATCCAGGTGAAGCAGAAAGAGACACCAGATCAACCTGTCCCAGCACTCGGGCGCTGCTTCTACAAAGGGGTCTCGCCGCGGCCGGGAGAGTCGCCGCCTGGGGGCGCCCATTCCTCGGACCCGCACTCTGGCCTGGGCGGCGAAGGACGCTGCGCTGGGGCGCCCCCGCTGGCTGACCCGCTTCCGCCGGACCCGCCCGCTGCTCACCACGGCGCTGTCATTACCCACCCCGCCGCCCTGCCCTGGCCTCCACGGCCTTTCCAGGAAACCCCGCCCGCCCCGCGGCCAAAAAAGGCCCCAGCGACGTGAGTCCGGCTCTCGAGCGAGGAAGCGGGCGGTGAGCCCCGGGTCTCCGTCGCCCTCCTCTCCACGGGGACAGACCCCCGAGCGCCTCCTCGGGAGAAGGGTGGCAGAGGCCTGGGTGCCTGCCTCTGACGAGCCACAGGGAGGGCCCCGCGTGCGGCGACCCCGGCCCGGCCTCCTCGCCCAGCGGGAAGGCGCCGGCACCCGGGCCACCCGTCCCCAGCCCTATCCTCCGAGTGAGGCGCCCAGAGTCACCCCTCGGAGATCTCGGCACCCGAATGAGGGCGGAGGGAGGCCGGGGGAAGAGTCGACGAGCTCTGGCCCCACCAGGCACTGAAGGAGGTCCCGGGTTCCCACCGGGGCCCAAGATGAAAGGTCCAAAGCCAGCTCCCGAGAGAAAGGCCCGGCCCTCCATGGCGCCACTGCTCGAGGGCTCCCTAGACCCCTGCGGGTCACTCTAGGTCTCACCTGTGTCCCGGGGGGCCAACCGAGGCCTCGTCCCGGGCGTCGCATGGCCGTGGCCCGAGGCCCGCCGAGCCGAGCCGGGATCCTCTCTGCCAGCCGCCACCTTCGCCTTCCTGGCGCACATCCGCCCTCGGGGAAGGGCCGCCCGCGGAGGAAGGAGTCGGGAAGGGAAGGAAACTGAGGCTGGGAGCCCAGTGGGCGGGACGCCTCAGCGGGGTGGGGACCTGGGGGGAGGGGGGTTGTCCGAGGGCCTGGGACTGGAGAACTTGAGGTTGAGAAAAATGAGGCAGACAGCAAAGGGGGTCTGCGGAGGGCTGGGGCGAGGGAAGGGGAGACGCGGAGGCTGGGAGGGGAAAGCGAAAGAGGGAGACTGAGGGATGAGGAAACATCACAGCTGGGGAGGGGAAGACTGAGGGCGAGATGCGGAGGGGACTGAGGAACAGACAGGTGGAGAGGTGGGGGGAGACCGAGGACAGAGGGGTCCTCAAGTGGAGGGGATGACAGAGGGAAGACTGGGGAGGCACTAGGAGGACTGAGGGCACTGGAGGGGGAACTGAGGGGGCGGGAAGATGGGGAGGTGAAGGCAACGAGGGAGACGGGGGCCGACGGGGGCCGCAGAGGTGGAAGAGAGGTGAGGTGGCCGCCAGAGGTTAGGGGAGACAGCGCCAGGGGGAGAGACGCGAGTGTAGCGTGGGGTTATGTTTTTCGAGGGGAGGGTCCTGGAAAGGGGCAGCTCCCCGGAGCCGCAGGGCGCAGTGGGTGCTCCGCAAGGGAGTAGCCCCTCATGTCCCCTCGGCCTGCCCCTCCGCAGGCCGCCCGGGTGGGACAAGGCCGCAGTGTTGGGCCGCCTGCCGCGGCCGCTCCGCCTGCCCCTGCCGGCGGGACAAGCGGCCTTTCTTCGGCGGGGCAGGAAGAAGGAGCCGCTTGTTTGCGCGGCGGGGAAAGGGGGCGGCCCCACAGACACCGCCCGCTCCTTTCTGCGAGGCAGCTGCGGGAAGAGGAGCTGAGTGTGTGGGAGGCACGTGTTTGTGAGGGGCCGCGTGTGTCAGTGGGGCTGCGTGTGTCAGTGGGATGCTTGTGTCAGTGGGGTGCGTGTGTCAGTGGGACGCGTGTCAGTGGGACGCGTGTGTCAGTGGGGCACGTGTGTCAAGTGGGATGCTTGCGTCAGGGGGGTGCATGTCAGTGGGGCTGCCTGCGTGTCAGTGGAGCTGAGTATGTCAATGGAGTGCGTGTGTCAGTGGGGCTGCGTGTCAGTGGGGCGCGTGTGTCAGTGGGGCTGCGTGTGAAGGGGGTGCGTTTGTCAGTGGGGCGCGTGTATCAGTGGGGCTGTGTCAGTGGGGGTGCGTGCGTCAGTGGGCTGCGTGTGAGCTGTAAGCAGGGATGCGTGCAGGAGCGGGGCTGCGTGCATGAGCAGGGGATGCGTGTGTGAGCGGGGCTGCGTGTGTGAGCGGGGCTGCGTGTGTAATTGGGGATGCGTGTGTGATTGGGGATGCGTGCGTGAGCAGGGGCTGCGTGTGTGATTGGGGCTGCGTGTGTGAGCGGGGCTGCGTGAGCGCTGGGGGCAGCTCCCTGTGAGTGAGGCGCGGATGTGAAGTGCGCGTGGAGTATGTGGTGAGGCCTAGGTGTGTGCAAGGGTTGTGCGTGTGTACCGGAGGTGTGATTCCGGGGATGCATGTGTGCGCTGTGTTGTGGAAGGCGGCGCGGGGGGCCGGGGCGCGGCGCGGCTGCCTGACCTGGCGCGGTGAGGAGCT